GACATTTATCTTATTATCCCAGAACTATCAAAAATGAATGTAATCTAAAACACAGCAGATTCATTTTATCTTGTATAAATAAAGTGTTGTATAAATACAACAGCCATTAGGGAAAGGTCTTTAGAGTCTTGACAGGAGACTGAAATTCCCAGAAGTTCTGCCGTATCCCTGCATTTGCTTCTTCATCTTTCCTCTATACTATGCATGAAGTCTAGAGTGTAAAATCTTGAGAAGTAGAATCTCAGCTGGTTAGGAGGGTTATTGAGGGAAAATAAATGAGTGCTGAGTCTTGCCCCTCTTCCCCCGCCCATTATACTTACTAACAAGACAAGGAAGAACCAATGGAAAAGTCAAGAACTGGTATTGTAGGAGATATGTGTGGGAGAGTCTTCATATATTAACAGAGTCTGATTTCCTCCATAAATTCAAGGGAATTATCTCTACAAGCCCTTGTCCCTAAATACACATGCCAAATTGGCCTCTTATAAGGGTATGCCCACTATTCTTGACAGCCTTAATTGGCACTGTGCTAGCGTTTTGATGTAGATGAGTTATTCCTCACAATTCTCAAGGAACCACTAAAGTCAGCTTATAAGCCACATTGCTGAGACTCGTACTTGGGATCTATTTGACCCCCAAAGACCTCTGCTATAGAGTTCTCCAAAATACCGCAATATAGAGAAAAATGCATTGGTTATCAACAGCAACGCCTGTCTTGAAAGTATAGGAGATAAGCAAAACTTTGTTTATATCTTAATTACTATTATTATGATTTGTCTGTGTCAGAGATATAAAGTATCCTAATGTGTGGCTAGCATTCAGTTCTGTTTTCTGGAATTTCTGTAGCAAATTTCAGATCCAAGGCCTAATATGCATGATGTGTGCCTCACGAGTGAAGTTAGGCCTGATAGCAATGTATATGAACTCCTTATGAGGAATTATTTCCTTCACTCTTGATACAGCATAGAGAATTTGTAACCAAAACCACAGAGAACTAAGAAAGCAGTAACTATTCATAAACCAGTCCATGAATATTCATTCTAATCACTATGTACTAATCAATTAGTATACACAGTAAGAACAAAATGAAATCTGAGTCTACAGATTGCAGAACTGAATACATCATCATCTTTAAATGACATAACTAAAGATAATACATTTTCCTTTCTGGATGAAAATTCATTTTATGTTCCCTAGTGGACTACATACACAGAAGGCAAAAATTGGACCTAAGTGTCCATTCCTACATATACATATACATATCCTACATACTCACATAATTGCATATTCATTGCTTTGTTTGCTTAAGACTGAAAAACAAATAAAATTGTGAGTCTGCCAAATTGCCTGTTTTAAACAATGTGGCGGGCCTTTAAAAAATACACAATAATGCATTCATCCAATACGAATAGAAAAATAATGAATTTTCTGGTTATTTCCTAAGTTTATCTTTCATACTACCAAGTGGTATCTATAATGTGTTTTGGTAGTTTGAATTACAAGTCGATGTTTCAATTAATTGTGGCCAAAACCAAAATGTCAACCAGGATGGAAAGCTTCAAAAAACAAACTAAACTGAAACTACCAAAAATGTAAAACAGAATAACCAAAGTAACACTAATTTAAAATGATCACTGATGAAACATATTTTATAGTCAACGTCAGACCTTTGCCATGTTTTTTTTTCAGAACTGTTTTAAGTTATTCACTTCACTCATTTAAATTTATGATATCTTTAACGAAAGAACACATAAAAATAATGGCGGTGGCGTGAACAAAACTTAGATGCAATGCTCAACAAACTGCACGTGCGCGTATATACACGTGTGTGCACGTGCATGCAGGCACACACGCAGATCCTCCTCCAGACCTAAAATGGCTGAGTTGCAGGATGTTGTTGCTTGGCGACCAAACAGTATCTCCTCAGCCACAGAGTAATCTAAACAGTGATAGATATGCCCCCCTCAGCTTTGGGCATGGCCAGGACAAATATTAAAGGGCATGTTTATCTTTCTAGTATCCTACATTTTCATTTGAAGTCTGTTGTCACTTGCTTGATTTTGTCATCAATTAAATTTAGATTTTAGGGGAAAGAGTATTTGCAAAGCTACAGCTATTCGTTTAAGAAAAGAGGTAGAATCAAGCTTCTTTCAGACTGAAAGCTAGTCCTGTTTCTATTAAGTCTATGTGCTGTGTCTACTCTGTTCTGGTACGACCTCCCAGTTGCGATCAGTCTCCCTTTCTTTCATTAAACACAAGCAGTTAATTAGCCCCAGCCTGTCCTCTTCCCTTCTGTCTGTCCCTTTTCAAGGTAGTAATGATGTCTAATTACCAGCAGCAGTGGGTTACTGCAACATCAGGCGCAAATCTCTCTGGCTGACAGCAAAGCTAGCCGCAAACCCTCAAAACTCAAACAGCTAGAATGATTCTTCCGTCTACTTGAAAATACCAAAAACAGTACTTTATTTCAGCCAAGATATGCCTTTGACTTTAAAATATATATATTTTTTTGTCTTTCTGGTGATTGTACTCCCGCTACTACAAGGAAAAACTCATTCTTAAGGAAGAAATAATTTGAGATGCGGAGAAACACATGATAAAAGGGGAACCTTTTATTTATTTTTTAACTTGTTGAAATGATGATTGGCTGTCTTTCAGGGAAGGCGGAGCCTATAATTCTATGAGAGGAGCAGCATAAAATTTTCATAAAGAGCAACAGAAGAGTTCATGAATTAAAAACCTCTTCAACATTTCAAAACAGGCTTGAATGAAGAGCAAAGCCCTTAAATACTACTACGTGGAAACCACTATCTAAGAATATCACCTGATGAATTACATTTTCTCCCATAAATACATGAAATCTTTACTGAAAAGAGAAATATGTGTTACTTTAGTATTCACCCTGAAGTTGTTTTTCTGTTAGATGTCTTAGCAATAATTCTTTATCAACTCTGCAAAAATTTTTGAATGAAAATACCGGTATCTGAACATGTGAATTCTGATTTGAATTACTGGCATCCATATTTATCTTACTGACTCTACAGCCATTACACAATTTATGTTATTTACAATTTTTTGTTAATGTTTTAAAAGGGCACATCCGTTTATACATATAGTGGATATACCCAAAGTATAAATTGGACCAATTCATACAGGGTGGAAACTATCTGACAGGTAAATGCAGGAACCTGACTTTAATGTAAAAGGAATGAAAAACAAACCTCCCAGCTAGCAATTGTTATGAAAAACATATAGAATATTATTAAATATTTAGGTAAATATACTTTAAATTATTATTTTATTTATTCAATTAGCCCAGTGTTCCCCTAAAGGAGAATACATTCTCATGCTTTGAATTCTCATTTACTTTGTCTAACAATAAGTTATTTTTAAAACTCAGGTTGAGTTACTCCTGATACAAATGAATCAAAGCACTTAATTCTCTACAACAGACTTCTGCTCATCCAGATGTAAATACACCTCAGTTCTAATCCAGACCCAGCTAGTTCTCATTATTTAGTAAAGCAAGACAGTAATCTCACCATTGTCTTTAGCAATGCCACGTTCAAAGAGAAGGCTGTGTTTGTAGATCTACCTCCCAGAAAATTCCAACAACAGTACTTTTTGGAAAAAAAACAGAACTTTTATGTGTGTTCTGTTTCACCTTTATTTCCGTTTCCCGTTTTCCACATACATTCCAAAACAAACACACTTCCTTCAAACTACCCCTAACGAATCTCAGAAAACCACTACCTGGTTTTCCAAACCTAAAAGAGCGCTCCAAATAATCCTCTGAAAAACCTTCCATGCACAGATTTCCAATTGCATATACCTCCGTTTGAGACAGAAGAATAGCTTGCAAGACATCTCCTTTCTAGCATCCTCCAGGAACACTGCACGGGAAAGGGCTGCCAGTATGGGGGGTGGGGGAGCGGGTGGAACAGGAGCAAATGCTCAAGAAACCCCAAAGCCAGGCAAAAATGCAAAGGATGCCAGATACCCTCCCCCACCCCTACTCCAGACGAGTACCCACCGTTCCATGACGGAGAAAGAGGTCTTATGGATCTGATCTGCAATCCTACTTGTAGCCCACAGTTCCCATCTTCTTAAAAAGGCAATCGACGCTGCTGCCGCTCGCCAGCCTCAGAGCCTTCTGCCCTGTACACCAGGCTCTCAGTGCCCAGCACCTTGCTGCGCCTGGGCTTAGAGCTTTGTGGCCCTGAGACTAGAGCTATCCCAGAATAAGGAGCAAACACATGTACCATTTGATTGCGCCCAAACCCATGTCTCTTTGTTGTTCATCATGTAGCGGCGGCTTTATTTGTGAAAGGGGGAAGTGAGGAAGGGAATGGGGGGCGGGGAGGAGGAATCTCCCGGACCTCATCCACAATCTAAACAGTCGTGGCAAGATCTCTGGGAGTGCTCAAGGCGATCCGATAGCCCAGCGTCTCCCAGGCGGCGGTCTAACAATAAAACCGGATAGTGTCGGGGGGCGGGGGAGGGGGGAACCCCACATCTCTGACCAGCGCCACAATCGGGCTTTGTGCCAGTTAGGAGACACTGTAGACGATCGATCAGAATCGTCTATTATCAGAGCGTGCGTCTGGGGTTCCAGCGTGGCCTTTATGCTTGGTGGCAAAAGCGGGACACGCGCCAGGCGCCCAGCGAAGGACACGGGACAATGGCCCGACCCGAGGACGCTGGAGGCCGCCCGACCCGGGGATGGAAGCTCCAGGAGCGGGTTCAGGAGCCTGGGAGGCGAGGAGGGCGGCGAGCTCTGGTGGTGCGCTGCCGCTTTAAAATAAAGGACCACAAAGACTCCACCGTGGGGGAAACGCGCCTGGCTCACGCGAGTGGGGACGACTTGGGGAGGGGGGTTGAGAAAGGTGGGGGGCACACGAGCCAACGGTGGCTCACGGCTCCCCCTTTCTCCCCCCTCTCTCTCCCCTCCCCGCCGGCTGCTCCCGCAGACAAATAACAGAGGAAGGGGAGTCACTCACCGTGGTCTTGACCGGCACGTAAAGCACTTGCTTGGCGCAGCCGCCGCCCCCGCGGACCTCGTCCGGCTGGCCCAGCTGGAAGCCCTTCGATTTGACCCAGAATTTAAATTTGGCGTTGTCCGTGGAGCTCGACTCGGAGCCGTTGAGGAGCTGGACGATCCGCTCGTATTTCTTACGGGTCACCGTCTTGGTCTTGCCTGAGTCCCCGTAAGTCCTGAGGCACCAGTCCTGGAACTGGCGGTACATGTCGCGCTCGCTCTCCATGTTCCCCGCTCCCGGCCGCTGGCTGGATGCTCCCAGCGCACTTCGCACCTGTTCACCCCGGGCTCATGAAAAATGCGGCCCCGGCCACGATGTAGGCACGCGAGGTCCCGGCCGCCGCCGGAGCCTGCCTCGGGTGGGGGGAGGAACGGGGAGAGGGGAGGAGGGTCCGGTTGGGCACCAGCAATCAATGCCCCGTGCTACCAAGTCTCTGGTTCATTCGTAATTGCAACGGATGTCTCGGACGCTGGTCTCGGACGCTTTTCTCGTCCTCTTGGTGATGGGTCTCTTTAATATTGTGTGATTAGGACCATCCCAACAGCATCTGGCCCAGAGGAGCTGGGTTTTAAATAATTAAAATCCCATTCCTTGGTTTATTAAAAATCCCAATATTGACTTGGGGTGGTCCCTGGACGCTTCACCCCGGGGCTGTGTCCGGGGCAAGGCAGGTGGAGCGCCGCGCCGCCTCCCAGCGCGCGCCCCAGAAGCTTCCCCGGCCGCTGGCCCCACCGTGCAGGGGCGAGGGCTGAGCTTCTCTCGAAAGCAGCCGCCCGGCCGAGCGCCTGTGAGCCCCGAAGGGCACCCGGGTCCCCGGGCTCTCCTTCCTCCAGGGTCCCGTTACGCTTCGACCTTCCCTGCGTGGGGCGTTAAGGGACTAGAAAGAGAGAAAGTTCTTACCTGTCATGTTGTTAAGCCTATCAAATCCTGCTACACAGGAAATCATTAAGGTATTTTTTTTAATGGTTTAAAATGTCATTTCTTCATACGCATTTAGGCTAAATTCCAATCCCGCAGGTAGGTTCCAGGAGTTAAGTCCCAGAATTAACAAAACATTCGTGGATATTTGGCCATAGTTCTATAGGAAAGGCTGTGATACCCCAAACAGATAGCCGCTCCAGGGGGATGTGGGTAAACGAAGGCAGGCCGCGGGCGGCGGGTCTCCCGGATAATGACGGGGTCCCCAGACAGGACTCCTCTGGTTTCTGCTGGACTGGGTACAAGGCATAGAAGTAAGTTTATAATACAGATGCTTAAAACCCTTTGCATGAAATTAAAATATACAGAGAAATTATTTTCCCCTTGCTTGGTTACAGTTTGCAGTTCACACAGGAGGTTTCGTATGTCTAATTTCCCCCTGCCACGTCATGGACACCCCTCCACTGCTCAGAGTAGCCAAATATGAGTTCCTCTGGACGATTTTCTCAAGCAAATGAAATCGGCGGCTTCTCCATTCAGGATTTCCACCCGTTGGTTACAGAGCTGGAAACAGGGGAGTTCCCATCCTCCTCGCGCTGCGTGCGATTGCGGCCGCTCCTCTTTATTCTACTCTCTGCGGAGGCCCGCGCCCGTCCCGGGAGGCGCCTCTGCCCGGAAGGCGGCCCGACCAGTGCCCCGCGCCTGGTCCGCGTCCTAGCCCACCTTCGCCCCTCGTCGTCGTCTCCCAGACGAAAGCCCCGAATGGGAACGCTGAGTGTTTGTACCCACTGCGCCGCAGCTGGTCCCGGCACTTGCAAAATGGTCAGTGGCTCCTGCTCGGCCAGGCTGAGTGCGTGCGTGTGTGTGAGCAAGGGAGCGAGGGTGTGCGGTGTGCGGGGGGGGGAGGGTGCGCTGTGTGTGTGCGCGCGTCTCCGGGAAGGTCTCGCGGCGGCTGGAGCCGGGACTGACAGCCCGGGCGGAGCGCGAGCAGCTCCACACACTAAACCTCTCGCCTCTCCCCTCACCCCTACCCCTCCCACTCCCCTCTCCTCCCACCCCCACCCCCCCCTTCCCCGGCCTCTTCCAAGCTCTCTGATTGGCCAATGGGACAAAAGTTTCTGTGGAGACGGCTGGGCGCTGACGTCACGGGCAGAATTGTCCCATTTAGGGATCCCGGGGGCAGTGCGCATGCTGCAGGCTGCAGGTTAGAGGCAGGAGGAGGTAGCAGCGGGCGCGGCGGCAGCCAGGTGGCGGAAAGGAGCACTCAGCATCCAGGTGGGGGGACGACTCCAGCAGGGTTTCCATGGAGATTCCTCTGGGTCTAGCCTAAAAACAGCAGATCAGCTGACACCATTAGCTCAGGACCTAATTACTGCTTATTGGAGCAACAAATGAGGGAGAGGGCCAGCTGCAAAGGAAGAGTTTTTATTCCCCCCCCCCCTCCCCGCCCCATCTCCTCCTTTCTCCCCTCGCAGTCGCTCTTGAGTCCCGGGTGAATTCTCATTAACTTGCAAGATTCCTGCAACAACAGCTACCCTTCTCCAGAGGCTACCCTGACTGCTTTTATTCTTTTTATTTCTTTATTTTGTATTTTTAAAAATGCTAAAACAAATCCGTTGTCCTGAGTCCTTGAATTTTTGCCCAGTAAATATTAGACCAGTAGAGCTCAGAGTCCACTAATACAAGTGACAAGTGGATCTAATATGGGGGGGAGGGGGTGGCAGGAAGGAAAAAACACTTTAAATTAGGTATTTAGGCCTTTCACATTAAAAAAAATTTTTTTAGTATCTTAAATAGATATGTGGACTAAGCAATCAGAAGCATATTTTGAATCACTCTCATAAGCGATATACCTCACAGGAACACTATTAAAAGTTTATCTAGTGGCATCAGAGATACAGGGTAATTCCAAGTTGGGAGATCTAGATTGCGTTGTATGTTAGTGAAATGTTTCCTAGAAGATTCTGGAAGTATGGTTGACCCTGGGGTGGTCATTCATTCAAGAGTAAGCTGGTTCTATAGAGTTCGCTTTTTCTTATGGTTAAAACTTAATTCACAATTTCAGAATTCTTTTTAGTAGCTCTTTCATCTGAAAAAGTCACCTCTTCTCCTCTAAGCCTCATTCAAGTACTTTTGGAACTGTAAAGCCTTCTTCTTTCCTTGGCTACTCAATTTAAAACAGTCTGTCTCTCTACGCTCCTCTGCAGAAGTGTCTTTCAACCATTTTTTTAACCTCGTCTCATAGTAAGGCACATACGTTACACTTCACACAGCTGTCCTCCAAAAATGTTATGAAAAAATATGTTTTACTGCATGGAATACACACTGATATCTACCCCATTTTCTCCTATTATTATTATTATCATTAGTATTACTACTACTATTACTACTCTTTGGTAATAGTAGTAACTCAATAAACGGTCCTAACCCAATAAATTTATAAAGCAGCAAAGGATGCCTGGCAACCTATAGTGTGGAAAACCTTGTTTTAGATCATATGAGCTATACCACTCCTTATACAACATAGTTTCACATGAGTATGTTTGTTCAAATAGAATCTTGATTGGAAGACCCTTGAGAGTTTAGATTTTCTTGTGTTCTGAGTAACTCCACCACAATGAACAATGCACATAGTAAATGCTTAATAAATATATACTGAGTTAATAAAGGAAAGGGAAAGAGAGGAAAGGAAGAAATAAGCAGGAAGCACAATCCTTAGCCATTCCTGTTGGCTTTTGCTGCGTAGTGTTTGGTTCCCGCTTAATGAGATACCAAGGTCTTACGATGCACTGCGCTCATTATATTTATGATTATACTTAGCATTCTAATGTATGGAAAATAAAACACTATAGATATAAAGAACTCACAGTATACAAGCAAATATGTCACCAACCCCCAGCTGTGTTAGCTAGATTTGTTATAAAAGCAAAAAAAAAAAAAAAAAAAAAAAAGAAAGAAAAAAACACAAAGATTAAACAATTATAGAAGGTGCATTTTTTTAGAAGGAAAAAGTAAATTACTATGGAAAGAATATTCACACTGGGCTAAAGAAGTCCTAGAGTCCTAGGACTTTTAGGGCCAAGCTTCTCAGAGCCATGAAGATTCTCATGCCTCCAGCGAAAACTAAAGTGTGCTCTGTTCTATACTTATACTCTTTATTAATTGTACGATCTAAATCAACTTTTTTTTTTACCATATCTTTCCTACTTAAGGGCACACGCACCTCAAAAATCTAAAATGCGCTTCAGTGACTCACTCTAGACTCATTTCTCTCCTTTTTGCTTTTCTAGAACCAAGTCTTCCTAGCTCCACCTGGAGGGTCATATTGACCCTTTCCTTCAGCTATATGATTCATCTGACAGGCTGCTTGGAATTTAATTTGGCATTTCCCCAAGATACATTATTCAGATTTGCCTCTCTACAGAGCATATCTCTCCAAAAAGAGACTTTTCACCCCCATATCTGAACACCAGTTCCTAATCCCTGCTCAGGGTCCTGTCTGCTATTTATAGGGAGAGAAAATCAGAAAGCATTTTATCAGAAAATAGTATTTTCATTAAAGATAGTCCAAATTATCCAAATTTTGACCTACGATAAACATTTTGTTATGAAAGAAAAATTTCTTCCAACTTCAGGGTCAGTTTGTGTATGACATTTTTAAAAATATGGATCTGCCCCTCCCTTCTCCTGCTCTCGCTCTCTCTCTCTCTCTCAAAATAAATAAATAAACCTAAAAAAAAACAACAACAGAGAACCTGGGTGGCTCAGTTAAGTGTCCGACTTCAGCTCAGATCATGGTCTCACTGTTCTGAGTTGGAGAGCCCGCTTCATTTCCTCTGCCTCCCTGTCTCTCTCTGCCCCTTCCCCACACACGTGCACACACACACACCGCATGCACTCAAAATCCCTGTCTCTCAAAAATAAAAACATTTAAAAATAAAATAAAAATCTGGAAAATCTTATATTTTAATACCAATCACAAATGTTTATGCAACACCACATGTTCATTAGCAAAATGTTATCATCCAAACAACATGTAACCTGTAACCTGTGTTCAAAGAGTAAAAGAAACTTCATCACATAATTATGCTTTCATTCAACAAATATTTACTGAGCACCAATTACTCTGATAGGCTTTAAGTTTCAAGCAGCCAACAAGGCATGTTTATATGCATTGTGCCCGTCTAATGGGACTTAAATTTTTCTCAGGAAAACAGAAAAGAAGGAAGTAAATAGCACTTGAGGTGAATGCCAGGAGGGGGGGAAATAGTGCTGTAATAGAAAACAAGGGCAGAGTGGAGGGACCTGGTAACTCAGGGAAGATCTCTGAGTAGGTGATGTTTATCCTGAGACCTGAAGGATACAAAGGAAGCAACCATCTGAAGAGCCAGGAAGGGGAACTATAGACACAGCGCAGAAGTCCTACCGCAAGAGTTAGTGGCACATTCGAGGAATAGAAAGAAGGCCAATGAAACTGGAGCTTACTGAGTTCCGGAGGGAAAATAGGGGAATGAAGGTCTGAGTAGTCTTCTGTGGCCAGATCTTGTGGGACAGTGCTTGCCAGGATAAAGGGTTTGCATTATATTATTGATCCAGCAGAAAATTAATAAAGGATTTAAAGCAGGAGAATTATGTGATGTGATAGGCATTTGTATGTTTCTCTGGCCAAACAGAAGGAGAATGGATTGGAAGAGAGCCAGTGTGGAAGCAAGAAGACCAGTTAGGAAACTTGCAGTAGTTCTAGTGGCTTCGGTGAGGTATCACTGCGATAGATTAGGAAGGTAGCAGTTGAGGTAGACGTGATGGGTGGCAGATAGGGTTTAAAGATAGGGCTCGCTGAGGGATTGCATGTGGCAGGTGAGGGAAAAGACTGAGTCAAGGATGACCATATGGCTTCTGGCTTTTGTAGTACGGCTTGTGAGGCCATTGACTTAGAAGAGGGGTGTTTGAGGAGGAACAGATTGGAGTTGGAGGCTGAGGTAGGAGCAGAAGTAGGTTGATGTAGAGAGGCAGGAAGAAAGAATTTAATTTCAGAGAAGTTAAATTTGAAATACCAGGAGAGTTGTTCATGTAGGCATTTGAATATAGAAGCTTGAACTACAGAGAAAAGTCTGGGCTGAAGATATAAATACAGGGATTTTAAAGCCATAAGAATGAATGACATCACCTCTACCCACACTCCTCCATCCCCTAAAAGGAAACACCTTCATCTTTAGATATTGATTTTTTATAAACTAATACTCCATGGCTAAAATAGAATGTCAGGTACTGAACAGCAGAACTTGGCTTCTTTTGCTATAACACATAATGGGAAAGTCTGAGAAATATAGCAAAGCCATTGGATCAATCCTTGACTCTTCCCAAATTGTTAGTGAGTTCCAAAATTGCTGGGGCTTTAAAAATCCTCTAAAATTTAAAAAAGGAAAAATAGAAAACATTGAATTAGTCCTCTTCTAGATTAGATCAGGAGCTGGAGGTGGACCAAAATAGGAATCTAAAATTTGAGCGTGGCCTGTGAGCAAATCTATCATTGAATGGATCGAATAGGGATTTGGGTTACTTGAGTTGAGTCCATAAGATAATTTGAGCCCTTTAGCTGTACTAGAGATTGTGATAGATATGACTTGCCACTTTGAAACCTGGAAGTTCTGAACAATGTTATGTATTCAAATGCTTAACAGTCCATTAATAACTCTTCCAGGGACAGGAATTTGTGAAGGAAGCAAATGGCCACCTCAATCAGCAACTTGCTTAACATATAGCATGGTAACTTTGCGAAATAAAGCAAAAACAAAGCCAGAAATCTACAGCTCCTGTGGATAGAGAAACTGGGGACTACATAAAAAGAGTCACAAGTGGGGCCCCTGGGTGGCTCAGTCAGTTAAGCATCCAACATTGGCTCAGGTCATGATCTCAAGGTCCCTGAGTTCAAGCCCCGTGTCGGGCTCTGTGCTGACAGCTTGGAGCCTGGAGCCTGCTTCGGATTCCGTGTCTCCCTCTCTCTCTGACCCCGCCC